GGTAGGGGTGGAGGGGGGGCTGGGGGAAAAAAAGTGTTAATGCAACAAGAGGAGAAAAACCAAACAAATAAACCCCCAAAACCTAAAATAAGCCTTCTCCCGGTGAGCGCAATTCAGGAAGAGATGTGCAATGATTCCTGGCTCCAGAGGAAGTCAGGGCAGATACCTATCTGCTTCCACCAAAGCTGAGGTAACAACTGCTAAAGGGCAAAACGGACCTGTCACTAGCTTCAACTCAGGAGGGAACTCAGCCCTAGACTCAAAAACAGAGAAATCTGAAAACAGGAGTCCTCTGGAGCAGAGCCAACGCTCAGAGACATGAGGAGGTCCCAGGGACTGCCTCGTACCCAGCATACAGCAAAACTAGAGCTCTGCCCTAAAGCTCACGCAGCTGTGCGGCCTGCAAACGCCTCTTCATCCGTCCCTCCACATATAGGGTCATCTGTGAAACACTGACAGTGTTCAAGGAAGCATTACGGATGCCCCTACAGAGAGGATGAGCTCTTGCTGCCATCTTTGATAAGCACACTACAAACACATGGAGAGAGGTACACATTATGAATCATGACAAAAAGTCACCATCAGAACTTGCACCTTGCTAGATAACAGAGTCAGACAAGACCCAGATCCATATGAAATCAGCCTCATTAATTCCACCACGCACAGAATTACTCCTTGACTGAGAAGTCTGAGCTGTCTGTTAAAATAGCAGCATCCCGTCTTTCTTCAGCCTTTCCAGCAGAAAAAGCTGAGAGCATTTCACAGTCCCCACAATTAACTTTCTTTCACAACTTTCAACGTTTCAGAGTGTCTGAGAAGGGAAAATAAGCAAAACGTGCTGACTTAGGGCACATCAGACTTAACCTACCCTGGAAGTGCATATAATGATCCTTGGATCCTCAAGACATACTGATATCCCTTATCTCTTCGGCTGTGCAAATACCTACGCAGCCCTCACCTTTCTTCCCTAAGAGGTGTGCAGACTCTGATATCCCAGACACGCAGCTCTGCTAGCTACCAACAGGCTTAGCGCCCAACTCTGACTTCCCGTGCAAGGGTGGTGGCGGGGGGGGATTGTCTAGGCTGGACACTCCCCCATAAGGGCATAAGACCAGGCAACAGCACTCAGGCTGTCCTATTCCCCTCCCAAGTACTGACAAGGAAATAAAGAGAGAACTACAGAGGAGTTGCTTAAATGCTGCTACCTCCTGCACAGGAAAGAAAGCCCACAAACGCTGGTGAGAGATGGTTTATTATCCCTCCAAAGTGACAGTTTGTCCTTACAGCACCTTATTTCTAGCTCTCCCCAGTGCCGGCAGGTCTACGCCCAGTGCACAGCCCTCAAGAGAGCAAACAAGCTCTATGGCAACCGACACTAAGGTCAAGCAGGCTGAGGCTGCTGTGTAAGCACTCTTCCCACTCCCACACGCTCAGCAAAGGGAACCGAGTGCCTTTTGTCCAGGCAGAATATCCACTCAGAGACGGGGAGACACCACCCTTTACCTTTGGAAGGGGGAGGCTCAGGCCGGGCAGTTTGGAAATAGGAAGAAAGGGTGCTTTTCCAGTGGGCATCCTTGGGAGCTGGAGTGTCCAGCTCCCAGCTTCTCCTGCTGGCTCCCCTACGGCTCTGCGGGTGCTGCAGCCCAGGTCTCCAGCAGCATGTTTCTGCTCTACTTGGCACGTCTTCCCTATTCGCAGTAAGCTGCTGGAACAGTCTGGCTTTTCAGCAATACGGGTCTCCCCTCCCCTCCCCTGCTCTCCTTTGGAGGAGCGCTGCAGGAGGACAGGGGAGGAACATGCGTGCACCAAGCTTTCTGGCAGTCGCAGCAATGAGCTGGGAATCCACCAGCTGGCATGTCCTGCTAGGCAGGAACCTTCCTCCTCGATTCAAGTGTATAACCAGGCAATTGCTGAGCATCAACACTTTCATCAGCCCACTTTTCTGCCTCTGAAAAATGCTCCCACGTGCAAGAGCTTTAAGAGGAAAGCTGGAAGCTTCACTGCTTGTGTCTTAAACCCACAACAGCTGCCACATCAGAAACTAGGATGCCAGACTAAACGGGTCTAGATCATGATGCCCAATGCTGGAAGACCACAGGGAGCAACAAAATTATCACCAGGAAAATCAGGTGTCAACTACAATAAGAACAAAGACTTGAGTTGGTCATTGCCTGCACCTCTACACGTGCCTCTACAAAGTCAGCTCCCTTCACTGTCTCCCCAGATGTCCCCGGACAAAGTGTGTATCAGACACAGGGCAGTGTCAAGACTTGCACAAGCAACACTGTCAAGACAATAACTGCAGCTTCCTTCAAGCCATGGATTGCCTGCCAGTCCTTTTTGTATAGGAGCAAGTAAAAATTTTAGCAGCACACTCTTATGTGGGAAAAAGCAATATAAGGATATGGTGGCAGTAGAAAAACAACTGGGTTTCGGGGGTGGGGAGAGAAGGAAAGAAAAACTTTCTGTGGGAAGGAATAAAACTGATTCTTAGTGAGAACAAGAGACCAAGTTTGGGAGATGGATAGCAACAATAGCGTTTTAGAGATGGAAACATGGGACCTGAAGTCTTATTTTCACAATAATCATCCCAGTCGTGTGCTGTGGGACATGCCTTCACTACCTGGAAAATGAAGAAAGCTATGCATTTGGGAAGCAAACCATAACTTGATAGAGGCAGGGAGGTTTTTTTCCTTTGCACCTCTGCAAGCTCATTACTGTTACACAACACAATAAAAGATCTCTGGGAAGACTGGTCAAACTCCAATTAAGCTGAGACTGAAATCTGCAATTGCAGAGCCTCCACTCCTAAGGGACACTGCAACAACACCCAGACCTAATGCCTTAGACATTCAAAAATAAAATAACAACAATAAAAAGCAAACAGAGTCCCAGGGTTGCAACCGTCCCAGAGGCTGTGTCACAAGCACAAGCTTTCTCCTGCTTTTTGTCCTGTGGCATCAGAAAGGAAACAGACAGAGGCTAGGAAGCTCCTGCTGCAAGGCCAGGAAACATTCACACCGCCACATCACTACCAGCAGAACTGCTGCGGCCAGGGTCGTCGCCCCACGTGAGCTGTGACAGTGCCACGGAAAAGGGACCGCACACTGGTGCTGCCAAGTTGCACGTGACAGGCGGTGTGTCCAGAGCTGCTCTGATAGGGGGAACACAGGAAATACGATCAGCTCTGTGTGGTGCCCAAGAACTTCACAGCTCCGAGCAGCTGCAAGCACACATGTTGAAACTTCAGAAACAAAAGCAAGAGAAGGATGTTTTGCAAGTGAAAAGACAGATGGGCGTACAGTCAGCTTCAGGGTAACAGTTAAGAACTGCTACAGCTAGGAATAAGAGCCAGAAATTAAAGGACAGATGCTGAACGGCTAACAGTAAGGTCTGCAGAAATAATTGCAGTATATGGCTCCCTGCTGGGCTACATGCCTGCTGAGGCTGCCATTCGTGGCAGGGGGCAGGAACAGTGCGCCATTCTGTGCACGACCACTGCCAAAAATGCCTGGTACATCTCATGCTCCCTTTCCAAGGAGAAAGGGTCACCGTTGCACAGAGCCATGGAGAACACACAAGCAGGAGGTCAGATGGGTTTCAGCATCCTGTGAACTCATACCCAGTGCAGGAAGGCACACCTCTGAGCTGCAATCCCAAAACCGGGAGATGTCACTCAAACCCTGACACACATAAGGCCTCCTACCATCATTTGACTCTGGCTCACGAGCTTTCTCATCCCGCTGTCAAAAAAGGGGGCTCCTAGGAGCCACATCTTCTGCCCCAAGGTCTTCCCAAACCCAGCCTCCAGCCTGGACTTTTCTTGCACTACAGACAGTCTTGAGAGCTGGACTGATGATCCCATGTATGCTAGAGAGACCAACGTGCTGCAACTCACACCCTAGCAGAAGGGTCTGCAATGGCTCTTGCATCATTTGGAAGGGATGCCTGGAGGTCCCTGGTCCATTCCCCACTCAAAGCAGGGCCATCTAGATCAGGTGCACGAGGCCTGTGTCCAGTCCAGGCTTGAGTATCGCCCAAGACAGAGATCCCACCACCCCTCCAGACCCCTGTCCCATGGTTTGACCATCCTCCCAAAGGGGGGAAAAAATAAACCCACCACCAACAACAACCTGAAGTCCAGTTGGATAAATTCCTCATTTGCCTTGGCTGAACCTCGCTTCAGGATCAAGGGGCCAGGCATTACAGCAGCAGACACAAACCCGAGCCCAAAGGAAGGGAATGCAACACAGGTGTTCTTTCACCAGGGCCATGCTGGGACAGGGTCTCCCCATCCCAGAATGAAAAAAGCAATGCAATCCACCTCCAGCAGAGGAGCAGGGGGGCCAGCAGGGTTGTCCCCACTATCCAGGCCTGCCCACCCCCAACCCTGGATGGTTTTAAAGCCAATCTCCAAGCCCAGAAAGGCTTCACCCAACCAGCTTCCTCAAGCTTCGCAGCCATTTGTAACTCAGCACAAGCTGATTGTGCTGCTGAAAACAGCCCAGTCCTCTCCGGACAGGGATGAGGACCAGGCACCGGCAGCTAGGATTGCATCTTTCAGCAGCAGCTGACACACGCCCGCTCTAGCTGAGTGCGGAGCTCCAGGGATTTTTCTAGAGGCCAGACGGCTTGTCTTGAGAAAGTTTGCGCTAACCAGCAGGCTACAAGAGCCCCTTGAGCTTTTAACTAGGGCTAAGGAAATAGATTTGCAACTCACATGCAGGGGCCCTCCCACACAAAGACAGGAGGCTCCCTACTTGCTCTTTCCCACTGTTGGCCACAGTGGCCTGGGTTCAGGTCACTGCAGAAAGGACAACAGCACTTCCCATCCCCTCCTCCTTCCAGCCCACAGCTGGAAAGGTCAAGTCAAAAGCTACTAGGGTTTGTTGCCACTGACCAGAGCAAGCAATTCCTGCGTTACTAAAGCACGATCCGATGGCAATAGCATAGCTGCACTGAGGAAGAGAGAGAAGCTGTCCTGGCTGGCTTTGTATCAGATCAGTTAGTCCTCTCAAGACCAGAAAGGTCTTACTCCTTTCACTCATTAGTGATCAAAAAATACAGACATCGGAGGCAACAAGGAGGAGAAAAAGAAAAAAGAAACACATGCCATTAGCAGAAACCCAGTTTGCTCCTTACAGCAGTTACTGCTAGCCAGCAAATCCAGCTTGCCTGGGAAACACGCACCTTTCAGCGGTGCAGGGGAATGGCAGCCTTCGTCTCCCACCTTCAGCAGCCACCAGCAAGCCTGCGCTGGCATCACCAGATCAGATGATAAAACCTTGTTTTTAAACTCTTGCTCGTGCCTGCAGCAGCTAGCCAAATCCACCCTGGATCTGCTGTGCCTGGGACTACAGCGGAACACCATTAAAACGTGTTTCCAGGCTAGCAGAGAGCTGAGCAAGCTGGAGCGAAGCCAGGACAAGCATCTCTTCCCAGCTTCAGAATCTGATTGGGAGTCTTGCTCTATAAAACACACAGCGAGAGCCATTACCTCGCCCTGACAGCACAAAGTGGTATTAAAGCAGGCAGAATAATTCCCAGGAGCCAGTGCCTCTGCAGGCATCTGTCTAATGCGAGGGCTATGCGCTGGACGAGCTTCAGGAGTAGAGGAGATGGCCAGGATACAGCTGGGCCCAGCAAGCACCCCAGAGCTGCTCTGGGTACCCTGAAAGGCTCTGCAGAGCCCACGGTCCCTTCGCTGCCTACCTGGGGCAGCTGCAACAACCAGCCGACTGCAGGCTGCGAGAGCAGGCTTTTACCTTCAGAAATAAGCAGGTCTCAAACCATAAGGAGGCAGCCAAATTCATACAGAGACAGAGCACCTCCCCCCGCTCCCTCTCCCCCCGCCGGCCCCGCGCATGATAAGCAAAGGACTTGGTTTGGCTCTGGCTTCCCCAACTAGCTGAAGCTCTTTGAGGAGCTATGTGGCTCTTTACTAGCAAATCAAGCCTCTATCCAGCAGCTCTGGCAAGGTCAAAGTTTTGTCACATCTCCCTTGTGCCCCTCTGAGGCCCATTTCGGTATCTGGGTTTAATGCTGTCGCGCCTACCTGGACACTCCTCTGAAACAGATGAGAGCACGCGCTTCCTGCTCCTTCTGCCAACTATAGCAAAGCTCAGAAGCATTTATTTACCCCGTGTCTGGGCTGGCCAGATCTTTGATCCCCAGCACGCGAAACGCCACCCTCACTCCCCTTAGAGGAGGATGGGTGCGTTCCACCTCTCCAAGCACGACAAGGTGGCGCGGGAGAGGGGAGACCAAGGGCACTAGGAGACACCGCCACGGCGCAGCTGGGGCAAAGACACAGGAGAGAGCCGGGTGCCAGCTACGCACGATGCAGGGGAGACCCACGGCTGCTGGAAATATGCCGCTGCCTCTCATCGCCACTGTGCGGATTTCTCTGAGCTGCCTGGCCAGAGGACTCTGCTGCAGTGCCACTTCAGACACCCCCTCCCTCCTAGAGCTTTTCTGGCGATTGCTCCCCCCCTCCCCCCCCCCCCCCCCCCCCCGGGGGGGGGGCCCCCCTCACCGACC